CGTCTGAAGAGCACCACTTCTCTCCTCCAAAACACTGAGCTATGGAACACAATAGTTCTCTTTCCAGAAAGCAATGTTCACAGTCTTTTGTTGGGAGAACTTACAATGAATGCACATATATCTCACAGGCTTTTCTATGAGGAAAAGGTCAAAACCAAGAAAAGAAGGTTGTTATGTACCAGAAGAAATGTTTTCTATATCATAATCCCAAACTTCCTGCTGCAGCCAATTAGGCTATGGAATTAACTTTCTGATTGTTGGCTTATTCTAAATATTATCAACCTCTGCTGACAAGTTAACCTATAACAGGAAATCCAACAGACAGAGTATAGTCTACATTACATTATCTTTATTACATATATTTAGTCCTAACAAAGGTTTGTACAAAGCCTAGTGACTCACCGTCCATATGGCTGGTATGTCCAATTTGATTTATATATTTTGCTACAGTGGAAAGGAAAGTTACAGATAATTGATTTGTGCTCCTTGAATTTTCACTGAAAACTTGATCATGAAATTTAGTAACTTTTAAATTGAAGATCAGGATAAAAATGAAGGAAAATGAAATATAAATCTAGATGTGTTTGGAGGTTGTAATCCTGACCTTTATCCCATGTCACAGACATGATCCCATGTCACAGACATGGGATGGAATCTTCTATTTTTTTCCACCAAGCACATTCCTTAATGATTCATCACTACACAAAACTAAGCTACACAAAATATCTCAAGCTCTTATGAAACATTGATAATTATGATTTGTTTCTATAATAAACAAGTAATGTAGTAATACTGATACATGTCTCGAAAACTATAAGAAGAAATAGAATATAACATAATGAGATATAATGGGTGCTCCGTCTTCTAAATCTACTTGTGATTTTAACATATTCCTGTTGCCTTATAAACTTTATTAGGACCCCCGGAGACAGGGCAAGACACTGTAGGAATATGTTTGATATATAGTTGGATTAAATAACAACCTAATATATCAAACATATCACACAGAGGCCTGCAGAAAAGGCATCCAGGTTTGACTGAGCTCGAGAATAGGCACAGAACTGAAGGTTACAGCTGCAGGGGGTGGTCGCCACTGCAGCATCTCCGATACCTGTCTCTGGAGCACGGGTGTGTCTGTATGGGTGGAAACGGCGTCATTAGCAATACTGTCAGCACAGGCACCAGGGCACTGACATTCTTGTTTGGCCATTATACCATTTTCCCAAGCAAAAGGTGGATTCAACAGTGCAAGTTTGTTCATCATTTATGTCTGGGAGATTCCAGGCAAAAGGAGTTGTTTAAATTTTAAGGGCCTGAGGTGGGAATATAGCAGACTCATCTTCATGAACCACGGACCATTCCCCTTTTAAAACAGGCAACCTGAGAATGCGGTGAGTCGAGCAATTTAAACAAAATCATTGCCCCTTCCCACAACTATTCCTCAAAGCAGTGCAAATGTTCCCCAGTTCCAGTGGGAAGGCATATTCATTTTATACTGAGGATGTGTATATGGGCGTGTGTATGTGTGTGCAGGTATGTGTAAGGGCGAGTAGAGTTATAGGGACAGGAATGTAATAACAATTATTTATTTACAGTATCCCGGGGATTTTTTTTTTTTTAAGGTATTAGAAGAGGATGGAGAGAAGCAATTAACCTCAAAAGAATGGTTGGTTTTGGTATCAGATTTTTTTTTTTTTTAACTAGGGAAATAAATTCCTTCATAAAGGCAAGGATTTTATTTCATGCAGAAGTTATCACAAAGTGGACTGTCCTTCTAGACAGGCACAAAAACTACGGTTTGAGTTCATGGTTTCTTCAAAACAGTCTTACAGATCACATCCATGTGGAGGGAGCCCCTGGTCATCAGGCAGAGAAAGACTTCAGACCATTCTAGAAGTACTACGTACCTTTCCTAATATGATGGGAACAACCTGAGGTAGGCATCCTCAAGGTGGGGCTCAAATCAGTCATGTTAAGGATTTCTCAGCATTCAATAAAAACCCTCACTACGAGTATAAATACAAATGCTAGATGATCCGAGCAAGAATACTGTGGGGGGTCCTTACCAGACATATCAGTAATGATCACTATTTTTTAAAGTGCTGTTATTTTAAAAACACTGTTCTATAAAATTTTAAAACACAGACCCTTCCATCATCCCAATTCCAACATCATTCTTGTACATCCCCTACTTATCTCCTTCATAGGCAAGTTTTTTTTTTTTTTAAGAATTGCAATAATAATGAGCACATAATTCTGCATCCTGTTTTTTCCCCCTTCAAGTCATATATCATGAGCATCTTCTTTTTTTTTTTTTCCTTTTTGTCTTTTTTCGTGTCCGGCAACGGATCGCAACCCTCAGTGTCGCGCCCGTACCGGACCGGGACCGGCAACGGGATCGCAACCCTCAGTGCTGCGCCCGCACCTCGCTCAGCCAGTGAGCGGGAACCGGTCTGTATGTGGGATCCGAACCCTCGGCGGGAGCGCCACCGCGCTCCCAAGCGGCGCACTGTAGCAGTGCACCACCGGGCCGGCCCATGAGCATCTTCTTGATGCTACACAGTTCTAGAAACCATTACTTTAGTAGCTGCACAATATTCCTTCAAGGAGACACATGGGTCACATCCAATTTCTCATTAATACAAACAAAGCTGCAAGGAACAACCTTCTGACACGCACACAAGTTTCTTCCCTTCTTGGATTTCCTCATCAGGACAGATTCCCAGAGGTGGGATTAATGGCGAACCACAAACAGCCCCTGTGGAACGAGACCAGCCTCCTTTGACAATGGAGAGAGCAAAGGGGAACTGGTATGAACTGAAACTGCCACCAGAGTCCACATGCACCACCCTCCCCCCCCTCAGGCGTGGTGGTCAGATCCTGCCAAGGTTAATTCACCTCTTGGCTCCTCTGATTCCTCATGGACTTGCTGCAAGGATCAGATGAGTTAATTCATGTAAAGTACTTAGAAGACTGGCTGGCACATTGCTTGGCACTCAATTAATGCAAGCTTTTTGTTTTTCCTTTCTCAGAGGCCTACAGAATAATTTTATTTTAGAATTACTGGGTGTACTTCTGAGGTTCATGTTTCCTTTTTGAAGGAGAGACCTAGCATTGCTATTTCTCCATGGAAAGCATAATAGAAAGCAGAAAATTGGAGGCTGACAATCTCATATCCAGTAACAGGAAGTTTTGACAGGAGATATCCAACACCTGATTTATAAAATGGAACTGAATCAAGACAAAAGATAAAAATCCCAGAAGCATGTTTTTGGTGATAATGATGACAACATGGTGACAGAATTACCATTTTTACTGAGTCTTATTGTATGTCAGGTGCTGTGCTCTTGTTCTTACATTATCTCATTTAATTGGTTTAACAACAATCCTAATCAAGAATCATGAAGTAAATGATTCAACTGTGGGAAATCAGGATTCAAAGACAGACAAGAGCTCAGAAGGACCCCACAGAAGAACAGAAGGGCAGCCATGGGAATGGGAGCTCTTAGAATATGGTGAAGCGTTAATATTAAATCAGCACCAGGCTAATTCTCCAGGAGTGACTCCAAAAGTGTCAACTGACAGGGCTTCAGCATTAGCAGACAGGACCTTTCGCAAGAGAGGCCATTTGGAATAATCAGATAAGGAAAACGAAAAACAAATTAAGCACCAAATCTCTAAGTCTTACTCAATGTTTGATTCTTAAGTTTAAAGTACATTTTTCATCGATGATTAACTTGATTTACAAAGCAGAAACAAAGCCACAACCAGAGAATGGAGTTGTCCTTACACCCACATATAGCTCTTAAGTTCAGAAGAAAAAGACTGACAATACCAGACAACCTAAGACCTTCATGTTAGGAGCTGGCAGAGAGAACCCTGTAAACCCAACTATCAGAAGCCCAAACTCTTAAATTCCATCTCGATGAGAAAATTTTAAATGCCTTTACCAAACCTAGAGTGATTATTTGGAGACAGGTTCTAAGGACTCAAAGGTTTTAAGAATATTCCCAAGCTTAATGGACTCAGTACATGCTCAAGTCTATTTTACCTACAACATTGGCCCAGGCACTGCTTTTGAGCAGTTGGTATATTTCAGAGCTCAAACTCCATCCTTTGGTCTTAAAAAATAAGGTAGAATTTTAGGCATAAAACTCCCCAAACTGGGGGATCCAACTTTTTTCTTTTTTTTAGGGAAAGAGCCAGATTTTATTTCCTAATATATTTGGGTATCAGAGGGATATGCTCGAATAGGAAAAAACAGAGGCCTTCCCTGGTTCCACCGTCTTCCTGCCGAAGACAGCCACTGGGGGTGAGGTGGGAGGTTACAGCTTCTTAACAGGGGTGGGTTTTGCCCCTGGAGACAGCACTAGCTCACGGCCACTTTATTTAGAAAGTGTCCTATCTACTCCCCATCTAAAAGTATCTCTTTCTTTTAAGTAACTATTTCTCTTAACACCTACGCATGATCTTAGGTCTTAAACACTTATCTAGATGACAAACATAGATGGGAAAAACACACCAGCCAACCCGTCTCTAACATGCACTGAAAAAGTCTATTAATGGGTGCACTTCTGAGGTTCATGTTGCCTTCTGTTGATTCTACAAAAAGGAGAGACCTAGCATTACTATTTCTCCATAGAAAGCATAATAGAAACCAGAAAATTGAAGGCTGACAATCTCATATGCAGTAACAGGAAGTTCTGACAGGAGATATCCAACACCTGATTTATAAAATGGAACTACATCAAGATTATCAATGCCCTGATTCTTCCTCTTGATACTCAGAGGTATTTTTCTGGGTGGTTAACTTGAAAGACCCACTGTTTTTTTCCCCCATACTCTGTGCAAAGGTGCTGGGCAGGTAGAGCAGGTTGCTGCTTGCTAGTCTAACCATGGGGAAGGAGACAAGCTCCCTGCAGCACACCTAAGCTCCATTTCCCAGCCACCCACGGGAAGACCTAGTGACATCAGACAAGCAACCATAAATGAACACTCACTTTTGGTTTTGCTCTTGGCTTCAGCTGCTCTAACTTCTTAGCAGCAGCCTCAATGGATGCTGCAGCCCCCAGTAATTCTGTTTCTGCAATGACGGTTGGGTCTTCTGGATCCACCCACTCTGTTCCTAAAATCAGTCCAAAAGAAGTCATTCTTGGTAGCTGCAGACCTCAGGACAATCATTTATTTCAAATAATATACAGATTTACAAGCAGAGAGGCCCCATGAGCCTGCATTGTCCTAAGGGACCTTTTCTCTAGTGCTCATAAAAGCCATCTAGACGTGTGGGTGGGGGTGCTAGGGGAGAGCTAGTCCTGGTTTTCTAAGTCAGTTGTGTGTATAGCCCTGCCACAGAAGCAGTCATCAACAGCAGCTTCAAAAACGAAGATCTCACGGCCCAACGCTTCAGCCTTACTCTGACTTCTAATTTCAAGCTCATGAATTGAAGCAAGCATTCTCAGGAGACTCCAGGCCACATAGAGATTTGCCATTCCCTTCTCCTGGGAACACATGAGGAACAGCCACTCATCTCAATTCAAAGGAAGGGAAATTGGTAAGAAAACCTTTCGCTGGTGAGTTGATGGCTTCTATATAAGCACGAAGGAATGTGCAAACAAAGTATTCAGATAGCGCTGCTCTCTAAACATAAAGGTATTCTTTGAATGAGAATAAATATCCTGGTGAATGAAAGTGCAGATAAAAATAAATGGCAGGACTCCTAAGAGAAGTGAGCAGTTCTGGATGGATTATACCATTTAAGTTGAAGTAGCTATTACAAAGACCGGAGAAAAGACTTGCTTCAAGGAGGATGTTACTTTTAAAATCTAACTCTAGGGCCGGCCCCGTGGCTCACTCGGGAGAGTGCGGCGCTGGGAGCACAGAGGCCGTGGGTTCGGATCCTATATAGGGATGACCGGTGCGCTCACAGTGCTCACTGGCTGAGCGCGGTGCGGACGGTCTCAAAAAGGACAAAAAAAAAAAAAAAATCTAACTCTATACCCATTTACTTTAAGAAAGTACCTCACCTTTAAGAAAGGACTCCCTCTGACTGCATTTGCCAACAAAGGGCCGGCACTGGCTGTGCCTCTCCTCTGCTCAGCTGGCTGTATTAGCACTGCCTTCAAGCGGTGCCCTACAAGAGGAGATGAGAGAATCCCACCTACCTTTCATGGCTTCCGCTGCCTGGATGAGCTCAGTCACAGCGCCGGCAACTCGCTTGGAGAAAGCAGCCAGTTGATGCTTGAGTTCTGGGGTGGGTTTCTGCAGAATCTACAGGTGAAGAACAGGTCAAATGTAAGGAGGATGCTAACCAATGTGGCAGTTACTAGGGGGCAGGAGGCCGAAGTCCTGGTTTTAAGCTGCATCTCTGTCCCAAAGTGACATCGCAATCTCAGGGAGAAACACTCAAGACACACTGGGCTTCAGTTTCCTCATGTGAGAAATGAAAAGTTAGGAACCAGGGATGCCTCTAATGTCCCTTCTGACATAGTTCTCAAAGATCATAAAAGAGACAAAGTCCTTATTTGTCCTTTATTTGTACACAAAACAAATACATGTGCATGAAAATTCCCCAAAGTGTAAGAAAGTTATGAGTGAACACAAAAGCCCCAAGTCATGGGCCAGCCAGTGCTTGTGATAAAACAAATGTGGGATCAGAGGAGATGTGTGACTCAGATGGGGTTGTGGAGACAAAATCTAAGTGAGTAACAACTGATTGGGAAGGTTGCCCCTGAAAAAAACAATCCACTTCCAGGATTTTGACTGCAAGCTCTCCTGTGAAAGTTTGGACTTGCCCTCTTTTGAACTAGTTCAAATGTTTTTTAAATTGTTTTTTAGCTTTTTAAGGATTAAAAAAAGTAGTGGAAATCCCAAACACCAATCCAATTTAAAGAACATCCCCAGATGATTTCCTTTAAAATTCATCCAAGAATGGAACTAAGAAATGGGATGCAAACCCCTCACCATCTTTATCATGGATTTGAATTTTGATATACGCCATCCTGTTCCTTCCTCATTTTGAAATTCCTCTTTCAACACTTTTCTGCATCTCTTCCTCACGTTTCACAATGGTAATCTTCAGATTTAGAAATGTGAACATAGTCAGGAGAAAAGTGCAACTATTGTCTGTCTCTGGACAACTGTGGAGCCTCTGGGTAGGGGCTTTAGAATCGGACAAACCTGAGTTCAAACCTGGCTTTGTGTGTTGTTGGGCTGTGATCACTGACCCCCTCAGAAGCTGTTTTCTCATCTGTAAAACTGGGATAACGCCTATCCCTCAGGGCTGGCGTAAAGGTCGAGTAGAATAACACGTGGGAAATATCTCACACAATGTCAGGAACACAGCAGACATTCAGTAAATGGTAGTTCCCTTCTTGGTGACCCACACCCTTTTATACCTGGCCAGGTAGCAAAGTCTTTCTCAGGAGTCTGGAAGAAATGGCTTTTGAACCCTAGGCCCATCCCCTTTGGACCATGACTATAAGGCAATCCTTGTAAAAACTGGGTGGGAGGAGTTAATGGGTTACACTGTGACCAGCCCAGACACACCAGTATACGATGGCATCATGTTATACACTCACACCAATGAGTCGTGATCTTTGAGCATTACTTCACATGCATGTGTCCTCCCTCTCCCTCCTCTTGTGATCTTTTACATTTATTTTATATTTGCTATTGTTCTATGATTCCACCTGCTATTATCCTTATTCTCCCCTGCTAAGATCTACACATATCATTCTGTAGATATTAAGAACTTAGGACAGACCTGTGAATGAGTAAGCAACTGAATAAATAGGGAAAAACAGATCAACACTCCATTACAACAAGTCCTAATGTAACTGCTTCTGTAGCTCAGTTCCAAAAGAACACTAGAACCACGAAGAGGTAGAGAGAAGGGGGGTAAGTGCTACCTTCTAACACAGCCAGTGGGCAGGCAGTTTAGTTAAGTGTAGGGTTCTGGAGTCAGGGTACCTGTGTAACCCTGGTCCAGTTACTTATCCTTTCTCTAAGCCTCTTTATTTATCTACTAAATGGCACAACAGTCCTTTCTTTAAAAGTCGTGGTCAGATCATATAAATTAATACACATAAAGGTCTACTAATAGAGTTGGTCTGGCATATGACTTGGGCATCTGGATTTTTAAAAGTTCTCCAGGAGGTTCTCATATGTAGCCAGAGTTGTGAACCATTGATCTAGACTCAGATGATGGTACTTGCCACCACCAAACTATAAAAGGCTTGCATCATATTTGTCTGAAACAATATATGCTGTAAGACCACTAGGCAAATAATAGTTATGGCTCAGGGTCTGAACAGCTAAGCAGTTCATAGGTATTGTTAAATGGCTTCTTTACAGTGGCCAACACAACATGAATAAACAAAGGGTTAGAGGTATGGTGGAGACACGCACACTTAATGGCGAAAGACTGAGGGTTTTCCCCTATAAAATCAACACTAAGCTAAGGATGTTTATTTTTACACTTCTATCAATAATGCACTAGAATTCCCAGCCAGTGCCATAAGTCAAGAAAAATAAATAAATGACACACAGACAGAAAGGGAGAAGTAAATTGTCTTTGTTCGCAGATGACATGAACATCCATATAGAAAATTCTAAGGAATCTGTAAAAAAACAAAAACAAACTTCTAAAACTAATAAGTGAATTTGGCAAAGTCATAGGATATAAGGTCAACATATATACATCAGTTACACTTCTACATACTAGCAAAAAATAATTGGGAATTGGAATTTTAAAAAAGCAATACCATTTCTAATAACATAAAATTATTAAATCCCTAGGGTTAAATTTGACAATAGATATACAAGACCTGAACACTAAAGACTACAAATAGTGTTGAGAAATAGTAAAGACGACCTAAAAAATGGAGATATATATTATGTTCATGGATCAGGAGACTCAATATTGTCAAAATGTCAATTTTTCCCAGATTGATGTATAGGTTCAACACAATCCCAATCAAATTCCCAACAGTTAAAAAAAAAAAAAATTGTCAAGATTATCCTAAAATGTATATGAAACGCAAAGGAGCTAGAATAGCCAAAACCATTTTGAAAAAGAACAAATTTGCAAGTTTTAAACTAACTGGTTTTAAGATTTATAAAGATATACTAATCAAGACAAGATGATATGGGTATATAGACATACAGATCAACAGAGCAGAAAAGAGTCCAGAACTAGATTCATACACATGGTCCCCTGATTTTCAATAAAGGTGCTAAGGCAACTTTAATTCAACGGGGATAGCTTTGAATTAGGATAACTTTAGAAACAGGATAACTTTTTCAACAAATGGTGCTGAAACAATTGGACAGCCACATGTGAGAAAAGGAACCTCCACCCTTCCCATGCACCATATATGTAAATGAACTATAAATGGATTATAAACCTACATATAAGAATTAAAACTATATAGAAGAAAACAAAGGAAAACAATCATAGTGATCTTGGATTTGGTAAATATTCTTAAATAGATGACTGAAAGCACAGACTGCAAAAGAAAAAAAAAATCAATAAATTGGACTTCATCAGAATTAAAAGCTTTTGATTTTCAAAAGACCATTACCCATACAATGTAATATTATTCAGCCATAAAAAGGAATAAAGTACTGATACATACTACAACACAGATGAATTTTAAAAACATTATGCTACATGAAAGAGGCCAGTCACAAAAGGTGACATATTATATGAATCCATTTGTATGGATAGTCCAGAGTAGGCAGATCTGTAGAGTCAGAGTGTAGATCAGGGGCTGTGAGGGGCTAGGAGTGGGGGGCGGTGGGAAGAATGGGGCAGGACTACTAAAGGGCCCAAGCTTTCTTTTTGGGGTGACGAAAATGTTCTCAGATCAGATGATGATGACAGATGCACAACTTTAAATATACTAAACAGCAATGAATTATATATTTTAAGTGGGTAAATTTTGTCATATGTGAATTCTATCTCAG